AACAACAACAACAACAACAACAACAACAACAACAACAACAACAACAACAACAATGATGATGATGTTGATGGCAACATTACTACTACTACTACTAATAATAATAATAACAACAACAACAACAATAACAGCTATCATGATGATGACAACAATAATAGCAACCACAACGACAACATCGCTGATGAGGGTGACAACAATTGTAATAACAACAACAACAATAACAACAACAACAACAACAACGACAACAACAACAACAACAACAACGCTGCAAATAGCCCAGATCATACCCAAAAGGGAGCCAGCGCCGCCTGGTGCTCCATCGTAAATGACGACAGTTTTTCCTGGGATGACGAAACTGACGATTCTGAAGAGAGCAGAGGAGGAGACGAGGAGGGCAAGGGTAACGATGATGACGATGGTGGTGACGACAGTGAAAAGGACGATGACAGTGATGATGATGATGACGGTGGTGATGGAAACCACCATAGTGACGATGATGATTCTGAGGGGGATGAAGGTAGTGGGGAAGAAGAAGAAGGCTGGAGTGACCAGGAGAAAAAAGACGAACAGAAGTTGGAACGCAAGTAAGTATTTGAAGGGGGTGGAGTGAGAAACAAGATAATACTTTGATTTTTAGAATTTTCAACAGCAAATCGTTAGTGTCGCAAGTAACCCATTTAAGTCCATTTAGGCTTTTTTTTTTACACCAGAGACAAAAACAAAACAAAAATACACTCAAAACACTTGTCTTTTTGTGATGTTCCTATCAGGAATCGTGAAAAGCAAGAAAAGTGTAAGCCTTGACCATAGCAGTAAGCTGGTGATGTTGAAAGATGCATCTTTGGTAGATCTTGCGGAGAGTGTAAAAATCGAAACTTCTCAAAGTTTGGATTTAAGGGAATTGCTTGCAACAGCGACGAAATTAATGTAGAATATCCCTCTGAAATCAATCAAGCATAAATCAGGGCAATAGGTTGTTTTTTTAAAACTTACAACAGATTATGCGGAATATTCCTCTGAAAACAACCAACTGAAAAACAGCAATAATGTAGAACATCCCTCTGTAATCAGTGAAATGAAAAGCAAGATGATAAGTTCATTTTCAGAACTTACAACAACAAAGAACTAATTAAAGTTATTACCCTGCTCTTCACTTGACTGATCTGGAAGGGTCGTTATCGCTCGAAATCAGTTACGTGAAAAATCGGAAACGAACTTTTTTAAAGATAATTGTTAGAACTGACAACGTTACAGTATGTAGAACATCCCCGCTGAAATCAATAGGCAATTTTTAGAACTGACAACGTTACAGTATGTAGAACATCCCCGCTGAAATCAATAGGTAATTTTTAGAACTGGCAACAGCACGTAGAACAATGGTCCCTTTGAGATCAGTCAAGTAAAAAGCAAGACAGTACGTTCACCTTTTAAAACTTTCAAGAACACATTTTAAAAAAAGTTTTTCTCCAACCCCTGGCACCTTGCGGTGTCCAGGGGAGAAGCAAACATCTTTCTCTTCTTTTTCTTGTATCGCCTGTTGCATGATTTTGTTGTTGCTCTTAGCTAACGATTCTCTCACCCCCCCCCCCCTTCCTCCATCTTCCCACCCCCTTTATCCAAATTTACCTGTATTACCTGTCCTGGGCAGCAACGTCATTGCACACCGGACAGGTCCATAAGTGCTCAGTTCCCCCCAGCACCAAAGCCCGCAAGGTATCCATACTGATTGTTCCGGCGCTGTCTGATTATGGCGACGTCTTTCCTTTCCAGATAACCGTTCCTTTCTTCCTTCTCCCATCTCTATCCCCATTTCCTGCATCCAGATGATACGTGGTGTTCTGCTGTCTCCCTGTCTTCCTCATCCTGCAACTTTTCCTCCTGTGTCTTCAACACTTCTCCTTTGTCAAATTTCACCTCGCCATCAACCACGGCAATGTCTGCCAGCCTATCAGCCTCCTCATTGCCCTTCACTCCAGAGTGCCCAGGACAGAATATCCACGTGATGGCTCTAAGTGATGAGTGTTGTATTGGGTTCATTCATTCACTCCGAAGAAGCCCTTTCTCAACCCTTCGCAGGATGCTCTGGGGGTCTGTGACAATGATGAGATGAGTAGTTCTTGGTCTTGTATTATGAAGCCATCCAAGCGCTCTTGTTACGGCCTCAATCTCCATTTTCATGCTTGAAGTTGTTCTTTCTCTGGCCCCTGACATGCTATGAACTTTTTTGTTCTCACTGTATACCGCAAAACCCCATCCTCTTCTCTCACCCCTCCTGACTGATCCATCTGTATAGATCACTGGGTCATCTTGCTTGGAATGCTCCTCAATTAACTGTCGTATGTCATTGTCGTTGATGACAGCAGCACATTCTTTTCTTTGGGCCTACTCCTACCCCTGTTTCCATAATTATTATCCTGATCACGGGATGTACGCCCGGGCTGATATACTCGCTACCCCAAAATTGCAAAGTCCTAGTTTTGAGAAATTTGACGTGAAATATTTTGAGTTTCACATGTCAAGCTTTATTTAATGAAATATTTAAATATCATGATAACGACTCCGAATACTTTTACAATTTTGATAAAGCAGATAAAACACAGGTTTCTGACTTCATAGTCTTACGAACTCAAAACAGCCAAAAATGTCAGATAGAACGTTGTTGGCCTTAGGTAGCGTACTGTCTTGTGGTAGTCCTGACAGACACCCAAACCAAGATTCATTTTTTATTTTTCAATGTTTAGCAAGCAGGGATCTGTAGGTGGTTGGCGAGTGCCCTAGTACGATTTGCTCCTTCTTTCCTATCAAATTGATATCGTCCTTATCTCTCCTTCTTCTTTTTGTGTATGTAACTCTCTTGTAACACCTCTAATCTTTCGCTCTGGTAGGACCTAATTGTGTTGCAAATGCCGTAAAACTCTAGCTTTTTAAATCCTTGCAAATAGGGACAGCACCAGAGAGATGAAATACCCACAGTTCGGTAGACAGAAATGTCTTCCTCACTCCTCTCAGGAACGGCCTACCGCTGGTCAGGGGGATGAGGTAAGCTGAGATTTATTTTACAGACACTAGCGCATTAAAATGTGATGTTTCACACTAGTTACACACACACACACACATACGCTCACACACACTTACACACACACACTCACACAATACACAAACACACGCACTCACACACATACACATACGCTCTCACACACTTACACACACACACTCACACACATACACATACGCTCACACACACTTACACACACACACTCACACACATACACATACGCTCACACACACTTACACACACACACTCACACACATACACATACGCTCACAC